AGGTATTGAGAAGAATTTCTCCAAATCAAAGGTAAACATCTCCAAGGTAATTGGGAGGAAAAAGTGTTCTCCACAAAATTTCGAACGACAACAATTTGGGGTTAAATAAAAAAAAATGATTCCCCATCATATAGGTATAGAACAACTTCAACAGTTCCAAGGGTCTCAATTTTTTTTTTAATGCGGCATAAACCGAGTTCCAAGTTCACCACTTTCTTTGATCAACGCAGTCTCCATCGAACAAACAACGATAGAGGTCCGAGAAAACTTTCCAAAAGGAACGAGGATCGACTCCTCAACCAGGAATAATCTCGATCACAGCGGTCGCTACCGAGTAATGAAACGCTTAGCTCACTCGACTCTTCCGACTAACAGTGTCGGCCGTCACGTCAGCTCTTGGTCAAGTAGCTAACCGTGCCGGCAGTCTTCAATGAGCTTCCAAAGATTACAATGAACGAATATCAAGAGTGAAGATGGCTCTGCACTCCACGATGTGCCTGCACCTGGCACGACTACCCTCCTTAAAAAGATTCTCAAAATCTTTTAAGGTGGAACAACACTTCTCGACTCCCCAACTTTATATTGATATAAAGGCATCACAAAACAAGATTCTCAATTTACGGGGACAAAATAAGGATCATCAAAGAATTAAAATGTTTAACTCCATCCGAAATCTCATCCCATGCAAAGGAAGAAAAGGCAAACAAAATTCTGAAGTACTGAAATTGAGCAGAATAAAGGAGTCTCAAACATAATTCAAAATTCTCTGCCACGCGAAAGGAAAATAAACAAAGGTCTGCAAAGTTTTCGGGAAAGCAAAAACTTAGGAAAAGAAAACAAAACGGATGTAGCTATACGATTCCACGATTAACTTCCTTCACAATCGATTCAAGTCATCCCCAGTTAGTCCTGCTATCGATAATGGTCCTGGTTCGAAGACACTAAGAAGCACTTTTTAGCGAAAGAACTGCCAAACCCTGAGCTTAATACGACGTAATACTAATATATATATGCCACAATTCTAGAGTTCGTCAACAAAAAAATTGAGTTCAAGCCAATCGAAGGTGGATAGATCTTCCTAAGCCCCAAGACATAGCACATAAAACAATTCATTCCATGAATAATCTCAACATTACTTATGACTTACATACCTCAAGCGGTGCGGCATGACGAAGACGAGTGGTACATGTGTATACTCATATATTCATAAATGCACATAAATCACATTGAGCAGTCTACAGAAACGCAGACTGGCTCTGATACCAAACTGTAACGCCTCACTTTTATTTGACGAAAGTCAAAGGCTTTTCAAAAAGTCAACTAATTTTTTTTTTTTTGAAACCTTTACATAAATCAATGGCGCTACTCGAACTAAATCACATAATAACATAAATCACACTCGCATAAATCATAAATAATAAATCCATTGTTTTCATAAATCACAGTTTCATCTAAATTGTTCATAAGGGAACATCTCCCAATTCAAAGTCATAAATAAGCATAAATAAAACCAAGTCTACGAGCATGCAGAATAAACTAAATGAAGTCAGTCAAAGACCAACACCACTCGTCTTTGTCTCGTCAGCCGGCACCTACTTAACCTCCATCAATGAAGAGCAGGTGGGAGTGAGCACGATGAATTGTTGTGCTCACCATATGCACATAAATAACAACATAATATATCAAGGGTATGGTCACAACATGGTCATAAATTAATTCATCATGTCACATCTCCAATCAATACACCAATAACCTCACTCATGTGC